ACTTCAAACACTGCCGTGTTTCACGCCACTGTGTGGATCTGGCGGTATTTGTGGAGGACCTCATTACCATCATCCTGATCAAGCACATGAATGTTTAATGAGCATGACCTTACGTTGGCTGCTGGAGTCCCTAGTGCGGGATTCATATAGCTTTACACAGAAGTAGCATGCACTACATGACTATTTGTAGTTGCTTTCTACCTGATTTAAATGTGTAACACTGTGTAACATGGTAAGCTACAGTCACTGAAGGCATGCTACCTCCAAACACTCCTTACATTAGCTAGTTCAGATCCGTGTTAGAACTGGTCTTCAGTCACCCATGCTTGTCATTATATTAGAGGTGACTAACGGCATCAGGTGGTCAGGCTCGCTGACTTGGTTGACACATGTCATCATATCCCAATTGTGTAGATTGATGCTCATGACATTGATCACTGGATTGTCTGGTCCAGACTGGATTATCTACAGACCGCCACCATATAGCTGTAATATTGGTGAGTGAGGTGTTCAACAACAACCTTCCTGTCTGATACCTGATGTTGCCAACTGGACCTTCCTGTATTCATTAATGCCTCATGCTAGCAGCCTAATGGGTTCCTGCTCGTGTTACTGTAACTTATATGCACAGTTTACAACATAGTCAGAAATCTGAACCTGTGTTGAGTTGAAGTCTATCTGGGTAGAGACACATACAACTATTGAAAATGTTGCTTGAACAAGCAGACTTTAAAGGCAGAATGTCACACATTTTTGACAATATTTTGGCCTATATAATAGTATTGTATATATTGTGGCATGTGCACTCACTTTAGCTTCCTATTGATGCAATAAAATATTTATTATCCCTTACGACTGGCCTGAAATCGATAATTGAAACTTTGAGGCGAATAGCTTCCAAACAGAGAACACTTGCTATATATGGAATGTAAACAATTGTTCTGAACATTGTAAACTGTCGCACACTGTGTTGTTGGTGTTTGCCGAACTGGTTTCACTCACAAGTTTTGCGTTGGATATTCATAAAGAGCGCTCAAAGGGACTTAACTGTATGGGGTTGGCTTGAAAGAATGTTCAACTGGTAGAGGGCGCGAGAGTTCATTTAATGCAACATTGCATAAATTCATTCAAACTTTTTAATAATATTGTAATCTAAATGTGTAATTTTTCATGGGAATAAATTATATGGTAGCTTCCCTGCATTATTTATTTTTAGAGAAGTGTGGTGTGATATAGTGCATTTAAGATTTGCCCTGACTATATGCATGTGAATGACTGATTCACACAGTTATTACAATTCAGAATAGCTTCAGTGGCTTGGGTGGACAAAACTGTAGCTAATATCATGAGCCAACAATATTCAAAATGAAAGGGGTACATTCTCCTTGAGATGTGCCCATATGTTGTTTTTAATTCATGGATCTCTTTAATTATGAAATTTAACATTAGAGTTATAGCAACATTGGCGTTATGTCACATTGGTTAGCTGAGATAGTACATGTGAAGTCTATGTTCATGATATCCATGGTTCTAAATCAATTTAGACAACAATAAAACATCAATCAACACATTATGACCTAATCCTTGGAACAAGGTATGTTGCTTTGAAACAGGAGCCAAGATGTGGGAATATTCCCATCTGCTTTAGTAAACATACATCAATAAACACTTTTGACAAATCCACTGTATTGTTAATCCTTTGAAGTTTTTTTACAATTCAACTGGCCACTCCTCTCTCACAGTGTGGCCACATGCATGCAATACATTCACCCCGTCAAACCTGTTTGTATCCCAATCATAGATTGGATATTTGCACCAGACATGAGAAATGCCAAGTCTGAACCTCTGATTGCTATATATCCTTGACACACTCAGAGGCAAGGGTGAACTTTACTGTGTTACAATGTATAGTCTAGGTCTAGGGAATGATGACAAACACATTAAGTGTAGGGTTTAAACATTAAAACTTTAATGGCAAAAAGGGAGTAGTAAGCAATCCCAGTGAAATGTATGCGATTTGCCTGAAAAAGTAAGAATCATTGCAGTTTTAAGTACATTAGGTGAGCTTCATTGTTGCAATATAATATTCTGTACCCATAATTGTTGAATACTGAAGTACATTTACACACATGTAAATATGCCAGGTGAAAGTTTTTGTAAGCGTCATCAGGTGAAATATGTGAATTCAAGAGGATTCCTTGTTTTCAACAAGGCACTCCAGTGCCTATCAGAAACCGAGATTGTTGGATGACTGGCGTTAATTGACATTCTGTGATTACTTTGGCTAATTAAAATGGTCCTGGCTCCACCACACCCTTTAAGGTTCAACATGGGCCATTATCTTATTTGTAAACAGTGGCATCTCTCTGAAAGTAACACTTCTGTTGCAAACATTGATGTATCATCATCACAGAAACACCTCTGTTGCAAGTAATATGTGTTGCAAGTAACATGTGCCACAGTAATCAGGGGCACATGTTTGTGACAGTAAGACCTCTGTGGCAAACAGTATCGCATCTCTGCCACAGCGGTTTGTGTGTCAACCAGAGAAAGCTATCCAAAAACACATCTACGATGTTTCAGTTACATAATCTGCTTGTGGATACCTGAGTCAGCCCTGCGACTCAAGAGACTGATTGGAGCTTTGTGGACTTGATGTTGGTCATGAATAGCTCAACTTAGAAACATTAAAGGCTATCTCTTTTGTCTTTTGTCTTTATTTAGCTGATGGAGATATAAAAGTGTGTCCACAAATTTCCTTAATTGTCGCCATATTACTCCATGAGACTCAAGCTGCGACAGCTGCCTGTTTATGAAGAAGCCAAATCAAGATTCACAAATAAACAAAATAATGAATGATGATGTGTATGATGATGACTACATGACGTATATGTTGTTGTATGCTGTATACGAGTGTATATACAATGGTGTACACGAGTTTATATACAATGGTGTACACGAGTTTATATACAATGGTGTACTCGAGTTTATATACAATGTTGTATCGAGTGTATATACAATGGTGTACACGAGTTTATATACAATGGTGTACACAAGTGTATATACAATGGTGTACACGAGTTTATATACAATGGTGTACACAAGTGTATATACAATGGTGTACACAAGTTTGTATATACAATGGTGTACATATACAATGGTGTACTGAGTTATAGTGTATATACAATGGTGTACAATGGTGTACACAGTTTATATACAATGGTGTACACAAGTGTATATACAATGGTGTATACACAATGTATATACAATGGTGTACACATGGTGTAGTTTATATACAATGGTGTACAATGGTGTACACAAGTGTATATACAATGGTGTACACAAGTTTATATACAATGGTGTACACAAGTGTATATACAATGGTGTACATGAGTTTATATACAATGGTGTACACAAGTGTATATACAATGGTGTACATGAGTTTATATACAATGGTGTACACAAGTGTATATACAATGGTGTACATGAGTTTATATACAATGGTGTACACAAGTGTATATACAATGGTGTACACAAGTGTATATACAATGGTGTACATGAGTTTATATACAATGGTGTACACAAGTGTATATATGGTGTACATGATGGTGGTGTACACAAGTGTATATACAATGGTGTACATGAGTTTATATACAATGGTGTACACAAGTGTATATACAATGGTGTACATGAGTTTATATACAATGGTGTACACAAGTGTATATACAATGGTGTACATGAGTTTGTATACAATGGTGTACACATGTGTATATACAAGTGGTACACATGGTGTACATGAGTTTATATACAATGGTGTACACAAGTATATATACAATGGTGTATACAATGGTGTACACAAGTGTATATACAATGGTGTACACGAGTTTATATACAATGGTGTACACAAGTTTATATACAATGGTGTACACAGAGTTTATATACAATGGTGTACACAAGTGTATACAATGGTGTACACAAGTTATATACAATGGTGTATGGTGTACACAATGTACAATGGTGTATATACAATGGTGTACACAAGTATTATACAATGGTGTACACAATGTTTACACAATGGTGTACACAAGTGTATATACAATGGTGTACACAAGTGTATATATATACAAGTGTATACAATGGTGTACACAAGTTTATATACAATGGTGTACACAAGTTTGTATACAATGGTGTACACGGTTTGTAAGTGTATATACAATGGTGTACACAAGAGTTTATACAATGGTGTAATGGTGTACACAATGTGTATATACAATGGTGTACACAAGTTTATATACAATGGTGTACACAAGTTTATATACAATGGTGTACACAAGTTTATACACATACAATGGTGTACACAAGTGTATGTATACAATGGTGTACACAAGTTTATATAATGGTGGTGTATATACAATGTGTATATACAATGGTGTATGCAAGTGTATATACAATGGTGTACACGAGTTTATATACAATGGTGTACACAAGTGTATATACAATGGTGTACACAAGTGTATATACAATGGTGTACAAGAGTTTATATACAATGGTGTACACAAGTGTATATACAATGGTGTACATGAGTTTATATACAATGGTGTACACAAGTGTATATACAATGGTGTACACGAGTTTATATACAATGGTGTACACAAGTGTATATACAATGTACACGAGGGTATATACAATGGTGTACACAAGTGTATATATACAATGGTGTACACAAGTGTATATACAATGGTGTATACACAGTGTATATACAATGGTGTACAAAGTACAATGGTATATACAATGGTACACGAGTTTATATACAATGGTGTATACGAGTGTATATTCAATGTTGTATGCGAGGGTATATACAATGGTGTACACAAGTGTATATACAATGGTGTACACGAGTTTATATACAATGGTGTACACAAGTTTATATACAAAGGGAATACTCAAAACTGTATGGGATGGTGTATGAATCATCTTTGACACCTTGTTGCCTGTTTCAGACTGCCTGTTCCGGATATGTCCCATGAGCCGCTACTCTGCCCAGAAGCAGTACTGGGAGGCACAGCGCCAGTCGTCCACCGACCCGATTCTGCTGGAGAGACTCCATGTAAGTCTTCATCTGAACCATGCACATAGATCTGAAACTTTATAAATGTACACTGATCAGAATCCATTTACACTGATCTGAACTGATCTACATCCATGTACACTGATCTGAACCATCGACATCCATGTACACTGATCTGAAACATCGACACTGATTGGAACCTATGGACAATGATCTCTGCCATGAATTACTGATCTATCTCAACCCATGGACACTGATCTGAACCCATGCACACTGATCTGAACCCATGCACACTGATCTGAACCCATGCACATTGATCTGAACCCATGCAGACTGATCTGAACCCATGGACACTGATCTGAATCCCTACACATTGCTCTCAATTCCATGACACTGGTTTTGGAGCACCTATTGGTCATTCCTCAGCCAGTTTGCATTGTGTGTGGTGGATGGGTGTGGACAATTTCTATAGATCTGAGTCTCAAAGATGAAACCAATTACTGGTGATGATGTGTTTAAATGTCATCTGGATTCATGTGAAAATCTGGTATGTGCAAATCAGATTTCCACTCTTATGTTGAAATAATGGTCATTACAGTAACTAACAGAAAAAGCTTCATCAGTTCAATCTGTTTTAGATTCAGAGAACCGATAATGGGTGTGTTTACTGCATTTGTTTTTATTTTATGTGATGATATTGTGTGTTTTGTATTGCGTGCTGTTCGTAGACTTGTACAAATTGACAACGGCATGATCAGAGTTTGTAACAATTTTATGCTGTCTGAATTACAAGTCTGAGATATAAGTCCATGGGTTCAGTGCACATAATGATAACATTGTTAATACAATGAGTCAACTTTGTATGTTAGTAATTGAAATATGGTTTCAAATCTACAATTGATGTGTATGATAGAATTGATTTGTAGTGAATTGATCATTTTCACAGCAGGATTATTACCTTCATGTATCGTGACTCAGCGGTACTCATTGGGTACTTTGTGGGATGTGACCTGTGTTTGAACTATATGCCTGCCTGTAGGTCCATGGCAGGTCCATTTCTTGTCGGGACTCAAAGTTTCAAATTTGTATAGGTCCGTTTGGCCTGCAGTAAATTCCCTTGTTGATTTATCACAATAAGCTGATTTCTTTAGAATGAGGACCTCAGGATTGCAGTTTCTAAAGTCTGTTGGCCCTGATGGAACCCTGGCATTATCAATTTTGACACTGGACATAACTGAAGTGATAGACATGCCAGACAATGAGAAACAGTGAACTCCAACCAAACCATTTTCAACTCATGAAGATCCAGGTTATAAGTGGTGTTCAGTCACCCTTGCTTGTTGTAGCAGGTTACTAAGGGATTGGGTGGTCAGCTTTGGGGTCTTGGTTGGTGGATGTCCAGTTGCTTAGATCAAAGCTTGCTAATGTCAATCACTGGATTGTGTGGTCAAGACTTGATTATTTACAGGCCACCATCTTATAACTGGAAAACTGCTGAGTGCAGCATCAAACAAGCAAATCAGTTATGGAATGAATCCTCCATATGTAATCTCCATAGGAGTTTAAAAATATAACCTATTGCTTCAGATTCTGGATGCACTTCTTGAACTTGATGTGTTCAACCCTCAGGGACATTACTCTCTGGCAAAGAGAAGTACAAGGCCTTTCTCCTTCAGAAGATATTTCACAGACTAATTTCGTTTGTGCGAAAACCGTTCTAGATTTATTTGTGTCAGGAATAACTCTGGAATTTACTCTTTCATCCTGACATGAAGACATAATAAGCATGTTGTGAGACTAGTTATTTGTTATAGGTGAGTTGGGGGTATAGTTGTCTACCAACTTTAAGTTTGATATGTGTGCCTGCACACACGTGTGCACACGCGCACGCACATGCACACACGCACACACACACACATTAACTATTGAAACAAACCAAACCAGGCATGTTTTTCAGATTCAGATATGAATATGAAAATTTACTGAATAAGTGTAGTCCTACAATTACACTTGCCCACTTTCTAAACAGCATTGTGTTTTCATGGATGTACTGTACATCTTGTTTCTGCCTCATCTTGTTAGCATCCCCTTCAGCAGGTGCTCCTCAAACTCTCGTGTGAACTCACCTATGTAGAACAGACTTAATGCCTTTGATTGCTCCACAGGTGCCAATCATGCACCAAAACATGTGTGAAGTCACCTGTGAAGGACATAATGGCTAGACTGTTGGCAGTTAGATACACCTTACAGCAGTTCATAGATACTGTTATGTGATGCCTTACTATTTAATCCTTCTTATTAAAATTAGCAAACTTTGTGTCATCAGATTTAACGGCTTTGTTCCTTAAATAGATCTGAATATCTCCTGCAGGTAGGTTACACCAGATAAAGCATATCATGCAGTAGGAGATACTGACAGGTGGAAGTCCAGTTACTGGCTCATCACTGGGAGGATATTTTCTCAGACCCGTAATTAAAAGCAGTACACGATAATGAGAAAGAAAAACCATTTCCATAAGATTAGAAATGCACAAGTCCCTAAGGTAAAAATTAATAGTTTAAATGATAATTTCTAAAAATATCTAGACTTGCCTCTTCGAAGAATTAATTACTATACATCCATGGGCTCAGCATTCAGTACAGCCTTGGAGCAAGGTTACCATAGGATGTATATAGGATACTAAACGACCTTCCGTGTAATACCAAGTTTATTAAACGTGTTAGTGATTTGGTATCAAACTCACTTTTGCTCGTTTGATACTAAATCTTTCACGAGTTTAACAAAAATGGTATTTCACGGAAGCAAGTTTAGTATTCTGTTTTTTACTCTAGAAACGAGTCAAGCAAGGTCTAACACTATTGCAACAGAGGCATTATCATTGTGACGTCATAACTGTAACCATTATGGAGTCGTATGTCTTGCGGTATTACACTAGTGTGATATTGCCGTAAAAGTATTACACTGCAGTATCTTCCACAGGCAAGTAATAAATATTGATATTTTTTTTCTCACATTCCATGGTTTCCATAGTGATTTGATTGGAAGTGGCTGGTATGATACAAGACAAATCTTATGGATAACAACTTCTTGATTTATTTTTCACAACGTTTCTGGGCTAGCTAGTTGTTATCCATAAGATTTGTCTTGTATTACTACACCAACTTCTAAATGCCTTTGAAGAATGGCTGGTATGAGTTTAACTCACTTCTTTCCGAGATATTGGGGATGTTGGTCCAAGTTGACAAATATAAGGTCACCCCTTTCATACACTCTTAAAAGATTCCAGTCACCACTGGGCACATTGCAGACAAATGTTTTGTGTCCCGATTACAGAAATAGAAGCATAAAATCATACTTGCCACACTGAAGAATTTGAACTACATGATAGCTTTCTTAAAAAGTTGGTAAAAGTTTACGGTAACAGATATATAAGGCAACAAAAGTTTCTGTAAACAAAAACAGATTCAGATTTGGAGGTATATCGATCTGTTTCCTGTTTGATTATATATTGCACATAAATACAACACTGACATGAGGGAACTGTCCTGCAAGTCACGAGTGGATCACAGTTGTTAGAGAGCTGTGGCACGACATAGTGATTACACAGTCAGGCTTTCCTGACAACTATGTATCAGTGTCTAGGCAGTGGTGAGGGTAGTGTACTCCAGGTCCAGTGTTGTCCACCAACAGCCAGGGATTGCATAATTATTTTTTTATTTTTTTATTATTGGATATTTATATAGCGCACATATCCACGCACTAGTGCATGCTCAAGGCGCTGGTAGTTTTTCCCTCGATCATTGGATGTCAATCTCAACGGCACATCTTATTATCAATCTCAACTCCCTGGGGATCATACAACTCTTGCAGCCACTAGGCGCACCGAATTATTGCGTCTTTTCCATCCGTACGAGGTACCCATTCACAGCTGGGTGGACTGGGACACATAGTCACAGTATTTTGTCCAAGTTTACTGCACGTTGCTATACCTGCAACTAGGTGTTTGCACATATTCATGTGGCCACCATCTGGTCATATACCAACGGATTCGTGGGTTCTTTTAAGTGTACAGGGTTGTGTACTGTACACTAGGGGTTGCGACAACACTGAAAGAGTCTGCACACAAAGTTGACTCCAAGGTTTTTTACACCCGGTCACAGGTGGGCTCGATCCCGGCACCTCATGCTCGCAGGATCACTAGCCTGGCGCTTTAGCCAGCTCGCCCACCGCGCCCCCATAACAATCAGTTGTCTTGATAAACATTAAACACGGATCTTCCTCGTTCACACTGAATTGTTTTTATGAAGATTTAACTGCAGAGGAAAAATATTTTAGTAGTCAGTGAGTATTGTTGTATGTCACTATTACTAGTATTAGCAACATTCCACTGTATCATGGTGGGGAAGAAATGCCACAATGTTCTTCACACATTGTACCTATGTGGGGAATCCAACCTGGTCCTTCTTTGTGCTTTATCCCACCCATTGTTGATAACCTGTTGGTGAAATCATTTCCTTATTACTGTATGGTGTCGGTTCAAATCCCCATATGTATGATGACGATTTATAGTGTCTATGCTGTGGTGTTGCAGGAATATTGCCAAAAGGCATAAAATCTTACTCATTTGCTTGTCTGTTCATGCCAGGGTGACAAGTCCATTAATTCCAACATAGTCAGCAAATTTTGTCATGTGTGAAATATTCAGCCTTTGATACAAGTAACCAATTCCATTGACAATGGGTGTTTCACACCTGAATTAACAATTACAGGTTTCAGTAACATTTAATTAAAACATGTGAAATAGAGTCTGCTTTAATTAGAAAATGACACAATCCATTAATCAGTTGAAAATTCCAGTGAGAAAGTTTCAGACTCCTTATTCCACTGCCAACACAGAGTTGGCCATATTGAACCCCATGATCCACGCCCCCAGAGATGTGCAGTCAGTTGCTGTGATGGTTGGCAGCTTCTGCAGCAAGTGGCTCAACATGCCTGACATTTTGGAAAGCAATCAAATGATAAAAGGAGACCATCTTTG